TACATTTTGGAAATGTTTAGTTAATATGGTAGATTGATTAGGAATCTGTTAGGATTGTTCCAAAATTGAATTTTGTTTGATTAAAGTGGCAAGGACATTGATTTGCATCTTCTTGAGTAAATTGTGTTATTGTCCTTCTTGTACGTTTTGGAAATGTTTAGTTAATATGGTAGATTGATTGGGAATCTGTTAGGATTGTTCCAAAATTGAATTTTCTTTGATAAAAGTGTCAGGTACATACGTTACGAAAATGTATTTTTCTAAGTTTTGGAAATTCCGAATTGAATTCTATTTAATAGAAGTATCAAGCAAATTGATTGGTTCGTATTTCCTCTTACAAATTGCTCGAACATATTTCCTTAAATTCTAGATATATTTAATTAACTGTTCGTTCGCTAAATTGATAAAAATTATATTAAAGTTTGATTGTTATTTGACAGTGGAAATACCGAGAGAATACCTTATACTTTTTGATTAAAAAACATTTTGATTCATTTGTATTTCAACATCGACATAACTACATTTTTTATTATTGAATTGTTGTTTAACAAGACCTCACTTCTACCATTTTAATCACTGTAAAACGATATGTTCGAAACGGTTTACTTTACATTTATACACATTTTTAGAACCACTGAAAAATACGCGAGAAGATAAATTTTATAATATTTAATACGAAGCATAAATTTACTTTTAATGTACTGAAACTGTTTGCGGGGGAAATTAAATTCTGTTTAACGTCGGTTCCATTGAATTCATTTAAACGCGTATATTTCTGTAATTTTTGGGTTTTTGTGTCAAACACAAGCACGGGGAAGCATAATAAAATATGGGACATATTGAATTCAATGTTGTCCTGACTTCATTGTTAACGGATTGAAATTATTAAGCGAATATAATGTTCGCTACTTTCAGCTGGGAAATGGTATTCCCCGTAAATACTTTGAGTTTAATCATTACAATGCAAATGTTTCTGTAATGATTACAGAATCTGTAATGATACATATTTGGTCTATTTACAAGAACAGTGATTACTTTGATGATCCATTCTCTTGTCAAAGGTTCTCTTAAATATTGGAACTACAAATGTAATCGAGATCCACGAGTGGCGTTCCGCCATTGTGTCTCTACTTTTGCATTTTTGCTAAATACATAAAATGCTTTTCAATTTATTTAGACATCGACAGGGCCCTTGGCAAATTTTTCATTTATTCCAGTTCCCGTTGATCTGCAAAGTTTCAAATATTCATATCGAATTTAATTGAATTTACATATTGACATCGAGCTTCATATTATATTTCAAATATCTGCGAGAATCAATGTTTGTAGCCCAGTTATTATTCTCTTTTTAATTATCTTTTTGATACAAATAGTGTTTCATGAAATTTATTTAATACCGACAACATTGACGTTTTTGGTTATCGAGAATGTTATTTTCCATGGTAAAAATTTGCAATTTCGAAGCTATAAGATTATTGTAAAGATTAATATGTTTTGTGCTAGCATAATTTACCATTTTGCGAAATTGGTTTAATATTGATAATATTGAGTTTATTGGTTATTAAGATTGTTATTTTCCATAAAAATTTCCAGTTTCGAAGCTATAAGATTATTCCAAGTATCAATGTGTTCTGGGCCAGCATAGCTCGCCATTTTATGAAATTGATTTAATAACCACAACACTGAAGTTATTAGTTATCAAGAATATTTTCCATGGTAAAAATTTGCAGTTTCGAAGCTACAAGATTATTGCAAGTATCAATGTGTTTTGGACTAGCATAACTCGCCATTTTGCGAAATGCTGGCAGGCATATTTATTCCCACAGTCCCTTAACGGAAATTGAAAGTGCTTAAACATAGATGCACGTGTCAGTGTAGTGACCATGCACACTGTAACTTGCGCGAGGACCCAGTGTCGAGGTTCCTTCCAGGTAGAAACTCGTGAAATACGTTTCGTATTCGATTTTCGTCCAGCAGCCCCTTGATCAACGAATATCTCGAAATTCGTTGCCAGTGCAGTCGTCGAAATTGTTTCGAGGAACAAATGGCTGTTGCAAAAACCACTTTGGTTGAGCAAATGTTATGATAAACCATTGTAGGAATTCCGAAAGTTATTTTACTCTAATAAAAATCGGAACGTACAGTGTAAATCGTTAAAACTGTGTTATTTATTTATTTTATTTTGCACGTTCCGACTGCGACGAAATTGTAAATTATAAAGTTCATTTTAATTACCAAAACAAACAAACCGACGAAGGTTGTGGTGAGCATTTGTTTTGGTAAATTTTTATTTTCCGTAGAATATAATGTGTCATTAATATGTAAACAATTATGAGAATTTTTATAACTAGTTATATATTGTTACAGAGTTTGCCACCTCGTGTATACAATGCGGTGATTCGCGGAAGGGAAGTGCATCTCGACAGAATTTCAGTGCAGTGCTACAAGTGGTGAGTTTTGTTACTCTTCAATTTGATAATTCATTTACACCTCGTCTCCCGTTATTTTCTTTGATAATTACATGGACTAGGTGAACCGCTGTTATATGAATTATTCATATAATATGTAACTCAAAATTAATCTACACTAAAATAAGAAATACCAATAGCATTTTACAAATTTGAAATAAAATGAAACAAATATATTCCAGATATATTAAACTTACAATATAATATAATACATAATTATAGATTTTCGTTTATATCCATTCGAAAGATAAAGAAATATATATCTTAGACTGAGAAACAAATAAAAATAAACTTTCTGTTCAACTCAATACACGATATAATTACACATTTTCCTTTAATTTCAAACAGAACAACGCACAAGCGTGCTTAAAATATCTCCATTAATCTAAATCACTGAAAGCTAGCAATAATCATAGTTCTCCATCAAATTCATCTTCAAAGACATATCTACAGTCTCTTTATAGAAAACTGAAGAACCTTTCACACAATATTCCCCTGTAGATCAACAATAGCACTCATAACACATTCGAATGCACAATAATTTTCCAGCCATAACGTCGAAAGATGATATCACGACGTAACATTGAACGTCCTATTACGAAACTGTCTCTCTCCGGAGGAATTCGATGCCAACCTTTCCCAGCCTTCAATTCTCCTCGGAAAAACGTAACGATTAATACTTCACCCCGCGCTCGATCACCGGAAACGTGTTCCGCGCCGGTCCGACGCGCTCTCTCCCCTCGCATTTATTTTTCCGGGCAATTTTCGTCCGGTTTTTCGCGGTTTTATCTGGCCGCAGCGCGGAATTGTTTCAACTTTTCCACGGTCGGCGCGCTACAGGGGAGGGAACTTCGCGGGAGCAACTGCTGAAACCTCGTAACGAGCGAAACAATGGTTAAAACTTGGTGGCGAACCGACGGGGGCTGCAAAAAGGGGGCGGGGGAGAGCGCGATAGAGCGACGCGGCGCGCCGAGCTTATATAACAGCTTTCAAACTCATATCTGTCGAGATATCGTGTTAATAAAACCGGCCGCTGACTTTTGTCGCGGGTCCTAGCTGTTTAAACGTTGCCCTTAAATCAATTTCGCTGGGGGTAACTGGGATCGATGCGTTCGAAATCGTGGAAAACGTGGGACAGGGTTCTGCGATGGGTTTCTGCTTTTATTTGTGTTCCAACGTTGGCTAGTGAAGACGTATACGTCTGCTGTTACGGATCTATTGATATATATAATAATTTGACAAATTTTTAAATTTATTCCTTTGGAAAACAAAGCTTCATATGAGAAAACTTTTGTTTCATATTTTCGGTTCTGTTTTTCACGTAGAATTATTCTCCGATAGTTTGTATTAATAGTTATGGGACACCATATATGTGAAGAGCGTTTAAATGAAGAAATGATAAGTTAAAATGTTAAAATGATAAATTAAATGAGAATAAGGTTGAGTGATATATTTGTTTACTGCAGTAGACTTGTGTAAATATTAGAAGAGATGTGCAATGATTGTTGATACGATTGAAAGGAAGTATAGAAAGTTTACTTGTAAGGAGTTTTTTTTAAGGGAACATTGAATTGATCGAGTTTGCACATGTTTGACTGCTGTTTGATTGGGTTTGTATGATGCAATTAGGTATTGTTTCTTTAAAGAGAAGTGTAAAAAGTCATTCTTTGATGACTTACTTCTAGAGAACAGTAAATTGTATCCAGTATGTTTCGGTCCAATGTGATCTGAATAGGTTTGAAGTTATGCAGAATCAGTAACATGAGATTTGATACAGTTTGAATGACTGTTTTATGGAGCTTTATGGATGTTTAATACTGGTTCATTATTTTTAACCCTTTGCACTTGAACATTGTTTCGCTAGATATATTCCTCATTTCCTAATGAAATATCAATGATATGTTTTATAATTAATATCAACATAAATAATACAGAAATTAAATGATAGAACTGTTTTAACGTTTCACAGATAATTACGTCACATGAACTTTAGTATTAAACATGAAACTTTGTAATTTTGCTGTATCATACCAAATGACGACTGATACTATTTTCTACAGTTGGAATTATGTAATATTCATATCGATCGAACGCGAGGTGAAGATATAAGAAAGTTAGAATTTCGAGAATTAGAAATGCAATCAGTGTTTCCAGTTGTATGGCGCAGATGCAACGTGACAAGAGTCTGAGCCGGTAGAATATGAACGACGCGTGCACGTGCAGTGTGTACCTGTTCCAGCTTGTTTTCTGGAAAATGGTTTGAACCTTAGGACACGGGCCCATGTAGATCTCGTGTTAACGTGATGGATATATAACACTGTTGCGTATTGTGCTAGATGTACTGTCTGTTCGGTGAGCTACCCAATAATTAGGATACTCGTTAACAGTCTATGCATACGCGTTTAACAACGCAGCAAGCCTGGTGATAGCAATTATGTGAGTTGTACGACCGTGTAACTTGATCCCCGAATCATACACTAGCTGACTGATGGTAATTAAGTTTCAGCTTTTTCTGGCCAATTTTAATTGTCGTCTGCATTGAAAACTCCAGCCAACGACAAATACGTTTGGCAATATTCCCTGTGCACCAATAGAATTTACTGCTTTTAGAATCAATTAAAAAAGTATTTTAAATTTAATTATACTTCTGCTTCGCGATTCATTTTAAATAAAATTTCTTTATAATTTTGGAATATATAAAATTACCGAGGCAGACAACAAATTGTGAATTGCTCTGATTTCTCTTCAAAATCTTCCTAATTTCTATTCAATTCAACAATCTTCTTTAATTCCTCAGTTTCACTCATTCAATTAACCCAACAGCGTTTCGCTAGAAATACCGAACACTGTCTGCTACGAAACAAACGATATTTTCTGAAAGCACCTTAACGAGAAATCACACAAATTAACCAGCAAAGTTCTTTCTGTTTCAATATCTCTCATTGGCGCATACAAAGCTTAAATTAAATATTAAACTTCACAATTCTGTACGTATTAAATTATCTGACCACTTTCAGCAACCATTCCAGTGCAAAAGGTTGAATTAAAATTTCGCTTTAACCTTCCCTCAAAAGAACTCTTAATTTCCCACAGAAGTGAATCTTTTCCCAATAAAACTCCTTTCATTCCCAATATCTCGAGCACTTCTCTAAGCCTCTCTCAAAGCCTCGTCCACTAAAAATTTCCGAAAACCGACGAAAACCAAGAATCGTCCCCTAATCTTCGCATCGAACGAAAATTTCTGGAATCCAACGTATCCAATCTCACACGTCCTT